CTGTTATTTCTGCGTCCGCTTCTCAAGCACCAGCTATAACAACTGTTCCTCCCACTCCCACATCTCCAATCCCTTTAATTCGGCGACAGCTTTCACATGATCATGGTGAGTGTTGATTTAATTTATTTTTTTCCTCATGCAACTTTTTCCTTTTACACTCTGGAGAACTGGAGTGAAAATTGTGTAGTCTTTATTGCTTGAAATAAATCGAAAAAATTTGGTTCGGGTTCTTAAATACTCAAAAATTTCTGTTGGTTTGTAGAATCCATCCGGCCTAGTGTCCTGGATAGCCAGCCTGCTGCGAAAACTGAGAGATCAAAGTCGTATGATGAAGGACTGGATGACTATAGAGAAGAGGAAAAATCGTAAGTTCGTGGAAAAATATAACTTAATTTGGAGATCTGTTTTTTAAAGTGTATAAAGTCTCGTTTTAACATTTATTTTTCTCCCAACAGATCCATTAAGCATGTGTCTAGTTTAAAGGGGATTAAGGTATGTGTATATGTATATAACAACTCCTAAGAAATTACACGTACTGTGACAAGTTGTATGAACTATACAACTCGATTATACAAACTGATGTGTTAAACACAGACATGAAGTTTATTGGAATTGCTACTTATCAAATTTTTCTTCATTTTGATGTTTAAATTTATTCTAATGTTTTTCCCCAGTCAGTGCTGTATGCATCACATAAGCAAACATGGTCTCTTTTTTTCTAAGCTCACCACATGGTCCTTGATTTTAAGTTTTCCTCAGCTTCTGTAAACAAAGCGTATCTATGGTGTGCTTTTGTAAAGACTTACTAATGAGAATCTAAGACTCAGGCAGTTTCTCAAAGTACTCTTGGGATGTGTAAGGTCACTGTTGTTCTGTGGAAACTTTAGAAGTTATATTTTCCCAGGCGAATATTCGTAGAGGCTTTTTGCTGAATGAGGTGTCAGCTTTTAAAGAGTGAAATGTCTTGAATGTAAAGATTGTAGAGAAATGTATTTAGAAGTGCACTGTAGGGTTCTCTTTGTGATGTTTTGTTTAGGTCCCAGACAGCCAGAAATCTTCGGAAGATTCTGGTTCCCGAAAAGATTCTTCTTCAGAGGTCTTTGGTGATGCCTCCAAGGAAGGATGGCTCCATTTTCGTCAGCTTGTTTCAGACAAAGGAAAGGTACTGGTCATGTTTGATTTTTTTTTAACCTAGCACAAATATTAAGCTGGTGGAAACCTAAGATAAGAAACTTACAGCCTTCCTGTTTTGCTTTTTTAACTAAAACTTCTGGGATATGAGCATCAATGAGACTGAAAAAAAATTAGACCTGTCAGAACGTTGACTTTAGTGAATTCTTCAGCTTCTTTTACAGACTGCATTTTGAACTGTATTCTGAGCTTCTGAACTAACAGGACGAGAGGAAATGACCTAAGGTTGCGCCAAGGGAGATTTAGATGGGATATTTCTTCACCTAAAAGGTTATCCTGAACTGGAACAGGCTGCCCAAGGAAGTTGTGGAGTCACCGTCCCTGGAAGTGTTTAAAAGATGTGCAGAAGTGGTGCTTAGGGACATAGTTTAGTGGTGGAGTTGACAGTGTTAGGTTTATGGTTGGACTCGATGATCTTAAGGGAATTTTTCAACCTAAATGATTCTGTGATTCTAATTTTGAATTTCAAAGCATCTGTGAAGTAAAATTATTTCTAATGACTAAGTAGGTAGTAAGAATCAGTCCCTTGATAACTGTAGTTTGAAAAGAGCTGTAATTTTTGCGAGTGTTGTGGAGTTGAGTTCAGATTAACTTTCTGCTCAAGTATAGACTTAACACTTCAGGAAGTTTGGGAGTCTGGAATTGCAGTGGTCTGTAAACATGAGTCTGACTTGAATGAAGTTTAAAAGGCATGGGCAAGAGTCCACTAAACATTTTGTTACTATGTTTGTATTAATGTCACTGTGAAATTCTAGTCACTTTCTGTTTCTTGGTATTGTCATGTGTGAATACACACTTGATGGGTGATGAGAGAGGGCAGGCTATTGAGCAATTCAGTCCGCTAATGCAGAGCAGTTAGTATATTTTTGTGTAGTCTTTCCACAGGTCATTCTTAAAAATGGTGTAGGCAGATAGGTAGTCATCCTTTTTAAAATTTTTGGCAATAGTGTTTTAAATCCAGAAACATTCACGGGTAACAAATAAGCAAGCTAACAAATCAGTTCATGTTTTTCAGCGAGTTGGTGGGAGCATTCGGCCATGGAAGCAATTGTATGTTGTTCTTCGAGGTCATTCACTTTATTTGTACAAGGATAAAAAGGAACAAGTGACCCCATCTGAAGAAGAGCAACCTATAAGCATCAATGCTTGTTTAATAGACATCTCATACTGTGAAACCAAGAGGAAAAACGTATTTAGACTCACCACATCAGACTGCGAGTATCTGTTTCAAGCTGAGGACAGAGATAATATGTTAGCATGGATTAAAGCAATACAAGAGAACAGCAACTTAAATGATGAGGTAATCATATAATACACAATGCAGAATCCATAGTTCTTTTAATTAAAAATTGATCGTATTTTCTTGTAAGTAATGCTTCAACAAAAGAAATCATTTACCATTACCGAACAAACCAAAATGCGTGAGGAACTTAAAGAAAATGAGGTGAAAGGCAAGGTAACGCAGTAAATAAATTGAGTTTAAAAAAGCCTGACATGCTTATAATGAGAGCGCAGACTTATGGATAAAATCACGTTTGAATTCATGGCTGTTTCAGCTGTATGTGTTGTAGTAATTAGTTATACAAGTACTATGTGCACATAGGATTGGATTTTTCAGAGTAGGGTGTGTTGACTTGCACGTTTTCTATTTAAACTGACTTTCAATTTAACAGGATTTCATCAGATTGTATTGCTTTGCTAAAGTCTAAATAGCAGCATTTAATTTATAATTACTCGTTTTAGTTTTCCTCATGGTTTTTAAATGTTCTCTCCTTACTGTTCTCAAGGACTGCCTGTTTTTTACTGATTTTTACTTTTCTTTTCAAATATTAAATTTTCATATGTGATCTGTTGATGGGAAGAGTTAATCATATTCTGAAAGTGAAAAATACTTGTTCTATTTTATAAGATTGTAAAGTAGATCTCAATTCATTTTATAGGATACTGGTGTCACTAGTAGAGATCTAATTAGTCGAAGGATTAAAGAATACAGTACAATGATGAGGTAGGTGACTTATGTGCTGCCAGTGGTTTTTGTAGACTTTTTATGTAGCTGCTTTTTACTGAAGTAATATATCTTGTTTCAGTTCTTCAAGCAGCAAAACAGAGCCATCTCCCAAAACACCTCGCCAGAGTCTAAGTATCAGACAGACTCTGCTTGGAAATAAAGCAGAACCGAGGACTCAGAGTCCACATTCTCCTAAGGATGAGTCTGAAAGGAAGCTTCTCACTAAAGGTCTGTATGTTTTGTGTATTTCTTTGGTTCCTATAGCACCATTGTGATGCTGTGGAGGTGCCTTTCTCAGTTTTTTCAGCTCATGAATATACAGATGCAAACCAAGTGTTATTCAGATTTTTTAAGTTACAGCGATAATCACTCATTTCTTGTAACTACTTCATTTAGATGTTTTCTTAGATATACTTCAGGTCTTCTCAGATTCTTGAAGCTTTTTATTCCAGGTCTCTCTCAAAAGGGTTTTGTTGTTTTGTTGGGTTTTTTTTTGCTGCAGCTCCATGTAGTGTTAACAGTAGTACAGGTGTTATGCTTCTTGTGACCAAAATTTTGCCAAGCTTTGGAAAAAATTTTATGTGTAATTCATACTTTTGTCTCCAGCTGACTTGGAAATAACAGTGTAAATTTATATTTTAAATATGCTGTTAAGAAACCAGAGTTTTTCACTGGAAGTGTTTTAGAAGTAGAGAAGAACTTTTTTTTTTTTGTCTTAATCTTTCAAATACAGGAGTGAAACCATATTGTTTTTCCCAGAAAAAAATTACTGCCTGCTGAGTTCTAAAAGAGTCTGATGAGCTGGCACTGCAAACTTAAATCAGTCACTGAACTCTATCAAATAATGTTGCAAGCTACTTTTTTTTTTTTTTTCAAAGAATGTTTAGATGTATAGTATTTCTGATCAGACTGTGCTTGTAAGGATGTTGCATACAAATTCAGGCTACTTGCTGAGCAATCACTTTTGATCAACCACTTTTGAACAATTCAGTCTTAAATTTAAACTGTGAGTGAATTCTGGTTTATGTTGCCAACAAATGTCCCTTTGCTCCTGCTGTGCTACAGATTATGTAACTAAATTGCAGATGTTAAGTAAATGTCAAATCTACGGAAAGAATAATTTCAAAAATACTTGAATAAGAAGGAAGTACTGTTGTATTAGGCGACTTGCAGTACACAATAAGTGGGAATTGTAATTTGCGACATGAATTGTATAGGAGAGATGAACAGAGCAACTGAACTCCTTATCTGATTTTTGGATAGATAATACTTTTAAGTGTTGGAGTCCTGTTCGTAATGATTTAGGAGTGACTCAAGTCTGGTAGTTTTTGAAAGACTGAGTAGGTCTGCACAAGTGTGAGCATGGCTGTCTAGTTTTACAGGTATTTTTTGCAGCACTGTGATTCAGTAGGGACTTAATCTTGCTTTACAAAATGTAGTTTTTAAGTTTTTTAAATGTTTTTTATATACCTTTAGTCTTAGAATGAGGAAATTCCACCATACCATCCAGCTACTCGCCTTTCTAAATCTGGGGTTTGAGTATGTTCAAATGTATCTTTTGAATCACAGAAGAGTAAAAGAAGGTATGTTTAAGGCAGACTAATGTTTAGTGAGTTATTGCAGGAAGCTGGGCCAGTAAAAGAGGTAAAAATGCTGTAGGCATCACTTTATCTTTACAAATCTGTTACCTGCATACACAGCAGTTTTTGTTAACTAAATGCTCTTATTTTTCTTTTTTATTTCCTCGTTTGTGTTATACTAACAACAAAAAGATGAGACAAGCCCACCAAAAGATAAGGGGACGTGGAGAAAAGGCATTCCAAGCATTATGAGGAAGACATTTGAAAAGAAGCCTTCTGCTGTAGGAACATTTGGTGTTAGACTAGATGACTGCCCCCCAGCTCATACCAACAAAGTATGGAAGCACAGTTTTTCTTTCCACTGTGATATTAAAATACTTTAATTTTGTAATTAATTTTGTACAAATTACTTTAAAATGTATACATAACTTCTCTTTTTCTTCAGTATATTCCACTGATTGTTGATATATGCTGCAAACTGGTTGAAGAAAGAGGTCTTGAGTACACAGGTATTTACAGAGTTCCTGGAAATAACGCTGCCATCTCAAGTATGCAGGAAGAGCTCAATAAAGGAATGACTGACATTGATGTTCATGATGATGTAAGTCTTCGATCACGCTACTTTCAGGTTGAACTCCCAAAAGCTTCTGATTGTGTCGTGATTATAGAAATATAAAGCATGTCTCTCCTTTTCTTCTAAATATGTAGAAATGGCGAGACTTGAATGTGATAAGCAGTTTGCTGAAATCCTTCTTCAGAAAGCTCCCAGAGCCCCTTTTTACCAATGGTAAGTTGTTTACGTTATGATTTCGTCTTTAGGAATTACTGCTGAGTGGTTGTCTTACATCTTGTAGGTGATTTGAGAGAAAATCCAGTAGAATCATACTAACTCTGTAATAAATACCCTTTCTTCCTGAAAGAGCAGGTAGTCAAGGTGATCATAAAGCTTAAGAATGAGCTGTAAATAGAATTCCTCTGTGAAGGAATTCTGAATTCAAAAAAAAAACTGAGTAAAATTTGCAATTTTACTGTTCAATATTCACAATATAATATAATAAGCCAGTTTATGACTTCCAAAGGTCATTTTATATATATATGTATATATAAACACCTGTGTTCACAGGGGAATGGGGCTGGCAGGGTGTGTATATACATAGTATACATAAATACACACACATATGTATATAAACTCATATTCTGCCTTTTTTTAACAGACAAATATGCAGATTTTATAGATGCCAATAGAAAAGAAGATCCTGTTGAACGTCTCAAAACACTGAAGAGACTGGTAAGCTGAAATCAGGTGTGTTGTAGATGCACTACAAAATTAGCATTAAAAGTTTTAATGTTCTGAATAGTGATGATTTGTTTCAGATTCATGATTTACCTGAACATCATTATGAGACACTCAAGTTTCTTTCTGCACACCTGAAGACAGTAGCAGAGAACTCAGAAAAGAACAAGGTATTGGAAACAAAACTATAATGTATTTTGGTTTGTTTCATTCACTATGTGCAGGTTTATTTCTATTAAAGTGGTAACTTACTATCGTAGATAAAATGAAGACCTTTGCTATGTTGTAAAGATTTTTGGATTAGACTAAGGACTCCTGCAAAACATGCACCTGTTTAGTGTGAATTAAGTTTATTCAAACTGATATTTAATTCTTGTGGGAATAACTGCTTGCATCTTAAATTTATCCCAAATCTGTAAACTTCATATAATCCGATCTAGACACCAATAAGAGTGTGCTTGGGCAGGGTGCAGGTGAATATCTGTGACCTGAATGAACCTGTTGACAGGTGCTCTTGCACCAGCTTTGAGTGAAGCCTGACTTCCAGGGCACTTGAGTAATTTTTAAGACTAGGACTTGTTGTAATTACTTGAATGCTTGACCTTGTAGTTGCTGGTTTTAAGAAAGAAAAATCATAATGTAAAGAGTGGTAGTTGACCACTACAGAGTCTTAGTCCACCACTAAGAACAGCTTTTTGTCATTTTCATGAGATGAGGAAGAGTTAGTTTGCCTTAAGTGCTTCTCTGTGTGCTATAATTCTACAGTAAATGCAAATATAGTATCCCCTTTTTTTACCTCTTGGGGGGGGGTAGCTGAATGCAAAACTGTGCACAATATGAGTGTGCTTTGGATGCTTACCCTCAGGGCAGGTAATGTGGTGGCTTGTTACTTGGCTACCAATGTACAGGGTACAGAAAAAAAATTTATGCGATCGATGCTTTATAGATGAGCCTATGACCAATCTGAAATAATTTAAAATATCAGAAAATGCCTCAGTTCAAATTAATATAGTAGGTTCCAACATCAGTTCTGCAAACAATACCTTCTAGTCAAATATGAAAGAAAAATGTGTATATATTAAAAATATATTTTTTAAAAAATAACAAATTATAACTTTTAGAGGAATTATAGCTGACAGGAAATGATAGTAAACGTCATTTTTAAGTGCAATGCCTAAAGCAAGCCTTTATTTATCATTTTATGGTTTCGATGTGTAAATATAAACAACAGTATAAATGTTGTTTAAATAATGTTAATATTATAGAATATATAGGCTAGATGATATTATAACTAACTGTGTGACTTGTCAAAGGCCACAATTCAAGTCAAAGTGAGCATTAGGGACTGGTGTCATTGTTTGCAGTTTCCTTCTAGTAAGCACAAAGACTTTGCTTCCTATTTATTATTTGTGTATTCTGTGTCATGACAGTAAACTGTAAGTCAGAGAAGTAAGCAAAAATAGAAGGTGAGTATTCTGCTGCAGCTTTCTTGAAATTATTTGTCAGAGATATAACATCAAAAGTAAATTAAGTGGATGATTACTGTTGTGACATGATCGAGTAACTCTTGAGTCTGACTGATGAATAGATGTGTTAGGTCTATGATATTGGTTGCTGCTGCCTCCTCCAAAGTAGTTGCAAATTGAATAAGCTCTTTGTCAGTAGACATAATACAGTATTTGATTACCAGCTTAATTTTTTCATGTGTCACATAAACATTCTCAGGAAAAAAAAATAGAGAACTACCAATGCACTTTTTTAAAACAAACAAACAAAAAAAATTCTTAGAACATCAGTGTTTCTAGACAAAACAGATAGTCTTTATGGGAAGAAAAAAAATATCCCCCTCAAAGTGTAAATATATCCGAATTCTTGAGTTTTCTGTGCTCGTGGAGCTATTTACTTGTACTGGGTTAAAGGAGGTTGAATTCTGATTTGCAGAAATGTTGGATGCATTTTTTGCAGCTGTGTATAGGAGAGTTTTAGTGCTGTGTAACATCCTACCTGAGTCAGTAATGTGTTTTTAAAAACCTTTTTTTTTGTGCTTATTTAAAATGGTTCTCAGCTATTAATAGTGTTATATTAATGTACTTAACCTATATTACTGTATTTTCTCATTATAAATGTATTATGTGGAAATATTTCATTTCTTAGATGGAACCAAGAAACCTGGCAATAGTATTTGGTCCAACACTTGTGAGGACATCTGATGATAACATGACACACATGGTTACGCACATGCCAGACCAATATAAAATTGTAGAAACACTCATCCAAAAAGTAAGTGGATGCATTTCCTTATTTGAAAAATAAGATGGTACACAGATCGGCCAGCTCTTCTCTTATTGGGCCAGTTTGGGTCTGGTATTTATCCTTCAAACTCCAGGATATCATTTTTAGTAACATCCATGTTTGATTGTCCCACGTTTGGGTTTTGTGTTTCCTGTGGGGTTTTCACCTTTTTTATTTTAAATTGTAGCATGACTGGTTTTTCACAGAAGATGATGCTGAAGAGCCTCTTGTAAGTATTGTCATAAATATTTGTGTTCTAATTATCTTAGTTTAGAATCTGCTTCTGCTGCCTCTAGAATGTCTGTATATTTCTTATTACATCACTGTATGATTTGCTCTTCAGAAGTACCTTTTTAGCTCTCCAGTCCTTGCAGTAATGAAATTAAAAAAAAAAAAAATAAAGCCATGCATTTGTTTTAAAAGCATAAAGCAAAATGGGAAAATAAGAACGCGTGAGGAAAGCGTGTCCTCAGGTGAATAATGCAGTTTTCTAAATGCTGTTGAATCGTAATGAACTATTTGTGAAACGATGATGAAGAGATCTTTGTTTATTAACTATAGACAACAGTTCAGGAGGAAAACACTGTAGAATCTCAGCCAGTGCCAAACATAGATCATTTACTCACCAACATTGGAAGAACGGGAGTATCTCCTGGAGACGTATCAGGTAACTCTTGCCCGGACAGCGTTAGTCCGTAGGCTAGAATTAACCTACTCTGTTAACTCACTGTAACTCTCTCTTCCTATTTTCTTTTACTAATAAGTTGTTTTTCTCTTTTCCAAGAGATCATTAACACTCCTTAAAGACTTGAATGGTTACTATTCATGCATGATATACTTTGGATAACTTTGTCTAACAGGAATATAATCATTAAAAGATGAGGCTTGCACATACCGATTTATTTATTCACAGTAACTCATGCAATCATCATCGTGAAGTGAAGCAGATACGCTGCTGTAAAGTGGTTTGTTGTGATGGCAGAAAGACTGATCTTCAGTGGTGTTCTAATATTGCTCCTTCGCAACGTTAGGAATGCAAAAACTTGAGTTACGTTTTCTTGTCAAGTGATGGACACTTTAATAAGTATGTTGCAGTATGTCTATACTAAAGCTGATTTCCTTTCGTTTATAAACGCCATCCTCTTGTGTGGCTAAGGACAAGCATTGCAGGCTCTTTTTTGGTGACTTTTTTCCCCCCTCCCTTCACTATACTATTGCACTAACCCAGCATGTTGTATCCCACAAATGTTATCCCTTCGTCTCTAGCTTTTGTTTCAGTTTTCAAAGGGTTGTTCAGCACTTACTGAAACAGTCACTTTATACTGATGTTGTAACAGGCGAAGTGGGAGGAGTCTATCACACGGTGATGTCATTAGTGGATTCTGTGATGTCACTGATGGACAGCTGGAACTGTAGGAAGAAGGAGGACTGTTGCCCACACTGTAGCTGCCTTGTCTGCAGAAACCCCCGTTTCTTGTAAATGGAGCAAACAAGAGAGTTGATCTGTGCTGTAAATTTTCTTTTAAGAGTATTTTAAACAGATCAATGCTACTTTTTAAAAGTTTTTCTGCTGTTTCTTGTTATCTCTGAAGCAGACCCTGAGGAGAAATAGCATGGTATGGTCTACCAGTCTTTCTAGTCATAAAGCATTAGCCATGTGTCAAAAAGGGGTGTGGCAGGGGGCTCAGCTCTTTCTTCCTAGGGAGAAAGTCCCTAAAGCTGGAACACATCCAAGTTCGTATTTTTTAGTCATTGTGCTAGCCCCTTCCTACCCCCTTTATAATTGTATGATCTTGGGTTTTGCGAGACAGTAAAACTATGGTGTCCATTTTTCATTTCATAATAGCGCTTGTTATAGAAGAGTACAAAACTGGTAGCTGCTGAAATCTAGCCGATTTAAAAATAAAATTGTACCTACGTGTAGTCAGAGGTGGAGAGAGTTGTACAATTGGGGTTTTAGACACAAAATATGACTTAAATCCTTTAAAAACTCACAAAAAGACTATGACTACATGAACCATGATTTGTTCCTAGGGCAGCCAACAGTACTAAGACATTCAATTTTGCTTTGTGTACGCTGAGTCTCAGGAGAGTACACAGTACAATCCTGAAAAGGTCTCAGCTGTGGTTTTGCAGGGGCTATATACTTAAAACATCGAATAAACATTAGTATTTCTGTCTTTTATTTAGAAGAACAGGGCTCCTTTGCCATTCCTATCATTGAGCTGGTTCTGCCTACAATTCACAGCATCCTTTCATGGCGGTGGCTTTCTGTGGTGCAGCTTGCATCTTTGTGAGCTCTGACTATTCACTGTTCTGGTTTTTATTTGCTTCACATTTTGTTCTGTGCTTGTCTTTTTCCATAAGTCCAGCATTGTCTGTAGCAACAACAAAAAAATTGCACAGAACTGAGCGGAATTGTTTTTTTAATTTTTCCACAGATTCAGCTACTAGTGACTCAGCAAAATCTAAGGTAAATCATTTTGTGAAATGATGTAGTTATAAGTTTCTGAAACGTGTTAGATCTTTGCTTGCTTTATTAAATCACTTACATGCAGATATACTATAGAGCTTATGTAGAATTTTTTTAATAAGTGGTAATACTGTTTTCTCATCAAATAATTTTGAAGTGTTGGAAAAGTATCACTTGTTTGCAGTTAGCTGCATGTGCCAAAGCAGTCAGCTGCACACATAAACAGCTTTGTTCCAAACTCTTGCAATTGTGAGTGCTTACCTCCTTTTTGCATCTCATTTAGTAGAAGTACATGTATATAGTATGTTCCCTGTCAGCATTGGCATACTACTTAGTCCCAGACAGTATTTGTGTTTCCCTGTTCCACTGAGGAAAAGTATACATAGAATTTAGCCTTTTCTTTCTCAGAAGGTAACAGCTCCTCCTCTTAAAGGAAGCCAAAGGTTGTGTTTAAAGGTTGCTATGCAAAATCTCCCTAGGAAGTATTGCTATGCTTGGAAAGACAGCCTAGTAGATAGGGGGAATAAGACTGGAACGTGGGCAATAGTTCAGTCCTCGATTTGATGACAGAGTTCTCATCTGACTCATGGACAAATCTTTCAGTCTCTTGGGCTATTGTTTAGTAGTTGCTAACACTGGATGTCTGTAGTGCTGGGTGATAGGGCAGCGTGCAGCTGACCTCAGTTGGCGGTGAGTGCATGATACAGCTTTATGCTGATGTGCATTCTAGGTCTATCACTGATGCCCCACTTTGAGCTGAGAACAAGACTTGATGCCTCCTCCTGGTTCATTGTTGATATGCCAGCCCAGCTGCTTAGTGAGGATGCTTGGTGGCTCAACATCACTGCCTCAAAAAAGCCCAGCTTCCAGGACACCATGTCACACTGCCTGTGCCAGGACGCTCTACTGTTTGCAGGTTGCCTCTCACTGACCACCACATGCGAGTTGCAAAGAGCAACAGCATCAGTCGGGTCATGCTCATGGGCTTGTAAGCAGCGTGCAGATTTGCAGATTGCCTGGGCCAGGAGCCTGCTTACTGCTTAGCCAGCCCTGCTTGCAGCCAGACTCATTCCAAGTGGAGCTCCAGTTGGCTGCATTGCTTGATATCCTTCTTGGTGAGAAGGATATGTACCTGTTCCCAGTCCATGGAAAAAAATGTGCAGAGCTTACCCATCCTTTATGGGGACAGTAACTAATGCAAGAGTGCCATCTGAGTAGTGAGAATTGCTGTGGTCACTTGAAAAATAGTAGGTGCCAGCACCCAGTGGTCCATTGCTCGTCAGCTTTGGATTGGCACTTGTATGCCGGCACAGCGATTCAGAGGTTTTACCTGCTGCTCAGAAGGTTCTTTGTCCATGCTGCCTGTAGGCAGTCATTGCACAGGAGGCCAAGCAGTCGCTGTAGGTAGTCATTGTGGAGGCTTCTCAGATGCTTGTTCTTTGCTCTCAGTAAGACTTACTGCATATCTTGTGCCTGCTTTGTCCTGATCTCTGAGCTCTGCATCAAGAGCATGGGATATTCTCTGTCATGCAGGAAGAGGTTCTGGATAGCCAGGAATGTTTTTGTTACTGTTGATTGAGTAGAAGTTTCTCCCAACTCTTCCCTGTCCATGCTCATATAAACAAACTAGTGCACCTTCGCTGAGGCTGTTACGGCCAATATAGTCACTGTGTTACTGTATGGCTGTTTGACTTTGTCTCATGAAGTCATACAGTGGCAATTTTCACCATTGCCATCACCTCTTTAATTTCTGAGGAGATAGTGAACAGGAATGAAATTCACACCAAGAAAAAGTTGTTTTGAGCGAAAATATTAAATGCACTGTATCTTTGTGTGGTCAGTGCATTTATGCTACAGCAGCAGCCATCCTGCAGCAGAGTTCACTGTCACGTTGGGGCTGTGATAGTGTGCTTATGGAGAAGCGAAGTACCTTGTTGGACAACGGCTGAGCAGTTAGGTGATGGCCAGTGTGTGTTAGCTTTCTCTTTGTCTCTAAGCTTATTCTCTTGAACAGGTATCTGGAATCACTGGATGGTCCTTTTAGTAATGATATCCCAGCTTTTTTGTTAAAGCTGTTACCATGATGATAGCTCTTCCCTCCATTTTTCCTCTCCCTTTCTGCAGTGCTGTGTAGTAACAAATGATTGGGATTTCCAAGACATTTCGGGCATAGCCCATCACTGCTGGTCTGAGTCTTCGCCGCTCAGGCCAGAGAGAGAGGCTAGATATCTGAACATGGACTTAGGTTCAGGTAGCTGACACCTATGCTGCTGCTGCTGTTGAGCCCTAGACGTCAGATTTCAGTCCCACTATGTTACAGGTCTCCGGTGTGAGCAACTGCCCTTCTCAGTAGATACCATTGCTGTATTTTTCTCTCAAATGTCTGCAGTGTGCAAGCTGCACTGGTCAGCAGGTAGGCAGGGCGGGACCTGCCCCGAACCTCCCACTTGTTTTAAAGGTAGCAGTGGGGCAGTAAATGGGAAAGATACGTAGCTTTGAAGTGGCCAGGTGATAATGTTGTCAATGTAGTGAAAATAGTTTTTAATCAGTTTTATAAAATGGAATAATTGGGCTTGACCCTATATTATTTCTGTGCAATTCTAAAGTTGAATTCCTCAAAAATCAGAAAGAAGTTTATTTGTCAGTTTTCTATACTTGTGCCTAAACTAGAGGTTTGTATAGCTTTCATTTTATTGAAGCTAATGAATTGGTACAATTTAAAAACTGGGCCTGAAAGGTGAAAGATAACTGAAAAATAGTTTGAGAAATTAGACTTTTCACATAGGTAAGACCTTGAAAGGAAGGATTGAAACCACAACCTCTTGAGACTTCATCTGTGAAGTAGTTTCTGTTGCAAACCAGTCTTGAAAAGGTTGTCTTGCTGTATTGGAGCCTGCTTTATTAGTCAATCAAAAACTAAATAGCTGTATATACAGACTAGTCTTTGTCAAGTTGAAGGGATTAAGATAAAAAGGGGAATTCTCAGGATGGAAATTGACTTTTTGGGCAATGTCATGTAGGCTACTAATTGTCATGGAAATATTTCCTGAATAAAGACAGGCTTTCTGCTGTGAAGCTCAGGATGTGTTTTTAAAATGTCTAAGGCTAACAAATGTTTCTTTGTGATTTCTAATCGTGCCCTCTCCCTTTTCTTTTTTTTAACAGGGTTCTTGGGGTTCTGGAAAGGATCAGTATAGCAAGGAACTGCTTGTGTCCTCCATTTTTGCAGCAGCTAGTCGCAAGCGGAAAAAAACAAAAGAGAAGCCACAACCAAGCAGCTCAGAGGATGAGTTGGATAATGTGTTTTTCAAGAAGGAGCTTGCAGAACAATCTCGTGGTGACACAACGAAAGAGGACACAGCTAAAGGGGAATATGAAAGAGAGAGAGACATAGGGAGAAAACAGAGGATGTTTGTCCTGAAGGAAAAAGAGAACAGCAGTAAAAAAGAGGTGAATGTTGTAAAGGATGAAAAGAAGTCATTAAAGAAAGAAGGTATCCTGTCAGAGGAACCTTCACTGCCTTACCATGAAAAATGTACAAAATCACCGAATCTCAGCTGTCTGCAAACCACTCAGAAGAACAATGCAAAAATGCCTATTTCACAGTCTTCTTCCCAGGTTGAGGAGACAGTGTCTGACTCCGGCACTATGCTTAGCACTTCCTCCCAGGCCTCTCAGCACAGATACTCATGCAAAAAAGTAGCCAGCCCTGAAATTAAACACAATGAGTTTTTAGCAGCTGATGTCAGTTCCATCACCTCAGATTATTCAACTACTTCATCTACTATGTATCTGACTGGTTTAGATGCCAGTATGCTGAGCCCTGAGGTGCAGTCAGTGACAGAAAGCAAGGGAGAAGATGCTGATGATGAAAGAAGTGAATTGATCAGTGAAGGGCGTCCTATGGAGACGGACAGTGAAAGTGACTTCCCTGTCTTTGCCACCAGTGGTGCTGCTGAAAGGCTGTCCAAGGGGAAGGTTTCAGAAGTGGCGAAGACCAGTCGGAGGAACTCTGAAGAAAGCGAAGTAAGTTGTACTGAGGGAAGTTCAACACCAAAGTTAGAGAGTCGCAGACTTTTTAGCTCTCACAAACTTATTGAATGTGATACACTGTCTAGGAGAAAGTCTGCAAGGCACAAAACGGACAGTGAGGGTTCAGGGGATGCAAAGAGTGAGAAGGACTTGCCTACTGTGACCAAAATGTTTGACATAATGAAAAAAGGAAGATCGACAAGCAGTTTAGCGACGTCAGCCAAAAGTGAGGCTGACAAACAAGAACCTACCTGGAGACTTAAGATTACAGATAGGTTAAAGCTGCGACTCAAATCATCTGCAGACGATATGTTTGGAGTTGGGAATCAAAAAGCTAACTCTGCAGAGACTGCAAAGAGAAAAAATATCAGGCGAAGGCATACACTTGGAGGACAGAGGGACTTTGCTGAAATAAGTGTCCTGAATGCTTGGAAAGTTCAAGAGCCAAGTCAAAGTAGAGAGAGAGAATCCGAGCTTTCAGCTGTGAATCGGTTGAAGCCAAAGTGTCCAGCGCAGGACCTCTCGATCTCAGACTGGCTTGCACGAGAACGTTTACGCACTAGCACAACTGACCTTAATACGGGTGAAACTGGAAAGCCCAGACTTGAGAACACTAGCTTAGCAGACGCATCAAAGGTAGATCTGCCTTTATCTGCAGAGATGAAGGCAGATGAAGGCAGTTCTTCCAGCAGCTTGACTTTAATTAATAGAACACCATCTTCGGGACCATTTCAGCCACCAGACCAGGTAAATGGTGAGAATTACCAGAATATGAACAAAAACAACTTCAGCCCAGCAGTTGATGCCCATCCTCATAAACTGTCTGGGACCCAAGTGGTTAGATCTCGATTCTACCAGTATCTTTGAAATGGGGAGCTATGTCCACTACAGCAATTCATTAACTTACTGTTACACTTCCCAGTAACTGTGCGTGCGTGTGTGTGTGTGTGTGTGTACATATATATATATATATTTTCCTGTACTGTTGTTGTTATGCAGCCTTCATTTGGGCTGGTTTCATCAATATGCTCTGTGGAACGTCTTCACAGTGCATTACCACAGCCAGAAGAACACTAAAGTTAAAGTATATATATATATATTTTAAAAAAAAGTATATTTGATGGCTGCATACAAATGTTGAACAAAGCATCTGATGCAACATGCTGTGTAGCATATTACATGGTTTTCTGACTGAGAGTTGGCCTGGCATTAGTATGCAGAAAAATCGTTCTTTTGGTTTAGTCACTAACAAGTGCCTCATCATAAATTCATTTGGTTTGTTAGGGTGCCATATTGTTAAATTAGAGAAACTTATTGCAAACAAATGAATGCGTTTTACTGTTAACGAGTTTCATTACATTTTACAAATGTTAACACAGGTGGCTACAGAGCTTCCATTCCTTAGGCATTCCAGTAAATATTGGAGTTTTATATTTCCAATTTTAATACAGATTTTGAGTTTTATGTGACTTGAATTTTTAATCTTTCTGTAAAATAAGTAACTTAAATGTACATACTACGTGTGTATCTTTTCTTCAGATACCAGATTTGATATAAATGTTGTAACATAGGCGTGTAGATAGTGGATACTGGATGGAACTGGTTTCTTTTATTGAGAATATAATTCTGCATGAAGACCTAATGAATCCAAACCTGTATCATGCCTGTGTGCATACCCACTTAAACACTGGAAATAAAATTGTTTTGGTGACTCTTTGCGTGATGCAAATTCATTCTAATAAACAGTTTTAAAACGCCGTGTTTACAAGATGCAGTTGGCACCTACCCTCAGGATGGCAAAACCTGCAATTGCTTCTGGATGAAGGGCACTTCTCTTTCAAGTCTTTCGTTTGTGGGACAAGACCGTGGAGGTTAGCGTATGAGAGAGGGGTTCGGTTGGTTATGTATTTTCATCTTGATACAGAATCTGATTCTAAGGTATGTAGCAAGTTGGTTTTCTTAATGTGCTGGTTTTGTAGTGCTGAAAAAAAAGTGTCCATAATCATCCCAAAGTCATAAAGAGCAAATACCAATATCTGCCAGTCAAAACAACACTGTGGTAAGGGTCTTGGACTTTTTATCATTTTAACTACGAAGATGAGTATGTACCCTAAAAGCCCTTCTGTATGTGAGGTCTCTACCAGTTATATTTTTCTCTTCTCTTTTCTTGCGTACCTGCTTGAAAACAAAGCAGCTCTTCATCACTTTGGGTATTCCCGTGTCTTACACTGTCACTTGCTTGGCAGAGGGTTAAACCTGTATTGATGATAAATGAGCAATGAACAATTTATGCATGTGTCCTGTTACTGAGAAGAGAAGGAATTGCAGTAACTCGGATGTGCAGGCTGACATGGTTGCAAACAGACTTGGTTACTTTCCAAGTGACTGTAATAGTCCCATGCTTTGATCTGCCGTGGTTTTGATCCTCATGAGAAATCACTGTAAAAATTTGCTGGGGAAAAAAAGCATCAGATGTGACAGCTGAGTCTGTCAAAAGTTCTCACCACCTAATTGTGTGCATGTCGTACCAGCTCACAGAAAAATGACTCATTCTTGTGGTCTCCTTGCAAACTAAAAGGTCTTTTCCCCCCAGAGCAAACGGGCCACTGGCGCATTAGCCGTGTTTTCTGTGTGCAGTGCGAGAGAATGGGTATGTTTGGTCAAACACGGAGTAATGGATGGTGATTTTTGTTTCAGTCCTAATAGGAAAGTGTATTTGAACAAGGGATTTCAAAATGTGGTATTGTGATGCCTCTGTAATGCTATTCACCAGGAAATACCTCGTCTTCTACTGGCAGCAGGTTTTGTCCCATCTGGCCTCAGAAGCTTGTTAGAGTGTGTGTTGAGCATCTACAGTGAGTTGCAGGGGTCTTTGCGATGGAGTAGTGTACTTGTGGGAGTACATAAGGGGTTCTGGGGGTCAGTCATTTATTCTGATGTGACAGCAATTTCTTGATGGATCATATTATCTTGCATTTTTTTGTGCTTGTAGATAACTAATGATTTTACCTCCTGAATCTAGATGTATGGCTGCCAACTCTTAGCTTGAGAACGCAGAATTTTACTGTATTGACTGGAATAGAACACAAGGTCTTTTGAAAAATCAGGCACTTTAAATACAACAGAGAGATATTATATTGGCTGACAGCGCGTCAGCAGCCTCCATCTTACCTTGTGCGGCTGCACTGGCTGCATGGAAGCTGCAGAGCAGTTGCAGATGGAGCTTGGACTAAAGTAAGGGATAAGAAAAGGATTACGGTGGTTTGGGCCACCACTGCCTTCCCCTTTCCTTGTAAATGAGGTCTTGGAGGAGATAACCTGGCAGGCAGAGCGGGAGAGAGGGAAGCTCTGGGGAAGCACTTGACTTAAAGGGAAGATGTAGGGAGCAATTTGTCAGGCGCATCACGGAGCGGTGATTACTGAGCTCCACCTGAAGAAAGCAACGTGTAGCAGCATATCTGAGTCTGGGAAAACACTGATGCTTTTTCTGCCCTTTGAAGACTGCCGAGATTTGGGGCCACCTTAAATTCCAGCCAGTGTGGCAATCAGGATAAATGTTTTTAGGAGCTGTTGCTGTGCCCAGTTCCTAACACCAGCTCCTTCAGACCCTTACCTGTGGTGCTTTTCTCTTTTCTTTTTTGGGGGGTTTTTTGTTTGTTTGTTTTCCCCTCCTGCTGTGAAAGAGAAGGGTGACAGTCTGATTGACACAGGAAGGGAAAGGTGTGCAATAACCTGCCCTGTGGTGAGTACTGTGAGTGCCAGTATTTCCTCTGGAAGCTGGATTCAGCCGAGTGGGCAGCTCCACAGGGTTGCAGAGCCACTGAGGTGGGCAGGGACCTCTGGGCATCGTCCAGCCCTGTCCTGGCTTGGGCAGGCACAGCCGGAGCAGGGTGCTCAGGGCTAGGGCCGGTCGAGTTTTGATTATCTCCAGGGATGGAGACTCCACAACCTCCCTGGGCAACCCGTGCCAGTGTTTGATCATACTTAAAGTAGGAAATGGCTTTTTTTTTATGTTTAAGCAGAGTTTCTTAACGTTTCCATTTGTGATCATTTTTTTATACTTGTCATCAGAAGGACTCAAACTGGCTTGGAAAGTACTTTTGGTCTGAGGACTGCTTGGAGCTGTGTAGCTGCAAGTCATTAGGAACAGGTCTAACCTGAGATCTGATGGGGAAAATGAAAGGAACTCTTCTGGTAGCAATAATGTTTGCATTTTTAAAATGGTTCCAAACAGCGGTTCCTGTTTCAGGGGGAATCAGTGGTTTAGTTTTGAAATCATTTTTCTGGGATCTGGTAGCAGCCATACAGCACCTTCTAGCTTTTTAAGACTCCCTAAAGGGCTTGTTGCAGTCCCCATTAGTATCACTCACAGCACTGATAATGTGGAATTAAGACATGGCCACAAGCCAGGCAGCTTCTTAACTAATTTTGCACTGCTGCAGAGCTGAAGGAAAGTCCTTTGCTGAGCTGCACCTGAGGGTTTCTTCCTGTCTGCAGCATCTGAGGAGAATCTCTCTTCACTTTGTCCAGGCAGGAGGAAAGTGTTTGCAATGTCACCTCATCTGCTACAAAAAGCTGTGTTCTTGTTTTCAAAGCCAGGTCATTACACCGTCCTCATTTAGATAGTAATCAAGCAGTTAATTGTGCCAGGGTGTAGGCTGATAAGTGGCTGGGAGGTGGAAGGACTTAAAACAGACCTGCCATTGTTGAAGTGGTGCATGGACCTGTGGCTCACAGTCATGAGACCGTAAAAATCTGCATTAATTGTCTGTTACTGAACCCGTAAGTTTGAAGCATGCAGGAAGACCTGCCTCTTAGTGGGGATCAGACGGATTTTGACTCTGCACATCTCTAGGCAGAAATGTCCTGCACATCCCTCATGTCCTGCCCTATGCATCCTCTTCTGCTCTGACTTCCTACCACCGTGTCCTGCCCAACACAGACTGGGTGCTGTGTTGTTTGGTGACTGCTGCAGCCCCCATGGGTACAGTCAGCTGGCACACAGGGACGGCACTTACGTGGCTGCAAAGTCCTGGGCTGGCTCCGACCACAACAGGCAGCAGGAAGGTCCTGCTGCACCTTCCACCTCCTTCCACCTCAAATGGGAGCAGTGAGCAGCTTCACTTCTGATTTTTCAGAGCAGTGGGATCCCATCCCGTCTGAACCCACAGGATTGCTGCGAAGTAAAGCAGCTCGATGGCTGCTCACAGAAGAGACTCATGCTGCAGAGGCAGCTGCCAGCAGGTCTGGTGCCCTGGAGATGCAGTGCCCTGCTGGGTGATTTTTTGCTGAAGAGCCTCTGTCAACTTTAAACTGCCCAAGAGTGGTGAGAGCTTGATCTGGAATTGCCTGTGCTGGAGCGTCCTGGCGACAGGAGGGAGGATGGGCTGCTGCTTTGCACGTCCCCTTTTTGAGCACAGGGTGGCTGGGGGGGATGCAGCCTCGTGCCGGCCGGGGGCTGAGGGCAGCTCTGTGCCAAGCCCCTGCTGCAGTGGTAGCTGCCTGGTGGGTCTCATCCCTAACTCGGGCTGCAGCCACCTCTGCCAAAACTGCCTCTTCATAACTGGTTTGCAGTGAGAAACTTGGCTTTTTGCTCACTAGCCTGTGCTGTTTCCTTCTTTGCTCGTGGGATTTATTTAGAGACTTGTTGATTTTTCTAAATACTCTGCCCAGCCTTCAGAACCGTTCCTGGTGCTGAGCTCTGCAGCGTGTGCGCAGCTCTTCCCCACCTGCGTTCCTGAAAGCCCGACAGCTTCGTTGCTGTACAAGCAGGACAGGGAAGGAGCAAACGCTGCCGGATTCTGATGGTCCCGGCAGCGGTGCCTATGCAGTGGGTTATGTGCCGCCTGAGACTGGTTGGTTTCCTGGTGGGTGCTGCACCCCGGCACTGAGGGTGGCACACGGAGGCACACAAAGCAGTGGGTGCTGGAAGATGTGCACGTTGCAGCGTAGCTGAGGCCGCAAGTGGGTGTTGCGTTTGCTCCCCGTGACGATACTCACATTCCCCACCAGAAGCAGTGGTTACCTGTGGAGCACAGCGCTGCCTGACTGCCCGCTGCCCGTGCAGGGCCCCTTGGCTGTTTGTGCACCTCTTGTTTGTGTCTAAATGCAGACAGGTACGGAGAACGAGCTGCTGTAGCCCCTTGCCCGAAGAGGCGGAGCAGCAGCAGTGGGAGCAGCGCCAGAGGCGGTGCCCACAGGCACGTGCCATGGCACTGCGGTGCAGAGGAGGGCCAGGGCCATGGCCAGGGTCTTCCAGCAGGGACCCTGCCTGGCTGTACAACGGCTCTGACGGAGTTACAGAGGATCAGGTATTAGCAAGTTACTAGTTTTCAGGAATTATTGGCTCCCTGAGGGATATCAGACCAACAGCTCAAGAACAAAACCTACTATGTCCATCCTTCAGCTTGAACGTACGTTTTGGCTGTGTCCATAAAGGAGAAGCACGGCACCCCACCTCCTGCTGCTCCATGTTTGCTGTCTGTGCGTGGGGATGTGCAACAGCCCTAGTCGGTAACAAGATACGGTGTTGGACCAGGCTCCTGCCCTTCAGAGCAGGACAGTACTGTACTCAACGCTTGACAAGGGACAAGGCACCCTTGGAAAGCGCATGGTCCGGGGTGTGCCATGTGATGACACAAGTGTCCAAGAGGGTCTCCCCATCTAAATCAACTGCTCCCAGACCAGGCTTTGGAGCCACCGCTTTTCCGT